TATATTTATATGTATATATGTATATATATACTACCCGAAAGCCTTGTAAGATGGGTAGCTCTGGTGTGTACACTGGTGGATGGTTTTGTATGGCATTGGTTTGCACCTGTGCACAGCTACCGCGACTTCGATCACAGTCCCATCTTCCAGTTTAACTTTCATCGTAGTTGACCACAAATGAAGCTTTATTTATCACGCCTACGCATAACCCAACTACGATCTCCATTTTGCTACAGTCATATTTACACCGTTTTAGTTGCTGGCGACGTCGCATACTTATACATATATAGTACTGCGTGCCTCAGCCCAAAGCTGCTGCTAAGCCGATCACCATTTCATATTTCTACTTCGATCATTATATGGACACCTGGATATGTGCACCCCAACAACATGGTCACTGGTATATGTATACCCCGACTTGAAACAGTGGCTGCATACACGTGGATATACATGCTGTATTCGCCGTACTTCATTTTGTATGGCGTTCCATCCACCTACCGACAGGCACAGCCTATCGGATCCCGTCTAATGCTTCTGGTGTATATATACTGAACCTGGTATACTTGTATTGTTTACGATACTACATTCATCTCTCAGCTACCGTTATTCCAACCATGATCTGCATGCTGCGCCGGACTTGTTTGTGCTTGCAGATATCAATGCTGCTTTGCTTGGTCTTGATTTCCATCTGCCAACGGTGGCGTTGAGGCTCACCTGTGGATATAGGAATATGACAGGTGGGTTGGGTACACATACGTATATTGGGATTGTTTGAATAGTACAATTATTATGTTCATGCTCGCCCTTAGTGTATCACACTTGTGATAGGCGGATTGGGTGCACATGTAAATGTGAAGTAATACAAGTCTTGTACTTACTGTCATAGTTTAGACAGCTGATTTGGGTATGTATACATTTGTGTTGCTATCTAAGCCTAGTACTTGCTGTTGTACTTGTGATAGGTGGTTTGGGTGCACATGTATATGTGAAGTAATACAGACCTTGTACGTAATGTTATAGTTTAGACAGCTGGGGTGGGTATATATTAATTTGTGGAGTTATATAAGTCTAGTACTCAGTGTTATAGTTTAGACAGGTGGGTTGGGTATATATAAATATGTGATGCATGTGACAGGTCAATCGGGTATGTATGAATATGTTAGACTATCTAAGCCATATTATTTAGTACATTATACCTTCCACAGGCGGGTTTAGTATCCTACACATGTTTATGTAAACTGTCATGCACCCCTGTACAAGCAAACAAATGTGGATACAGTTCCCACACCAAACATCTTCATATCTATTCCTTCCTAGGACTCTACAGCAACCTCAGAAAACACATACCCACCCAACTCATACCATACCTCTGTGCACACCCATCTGACACGCGTATTCCCACAGGTGTCAATATACGCCTCCTTAACAACTCATATCACACCTCTGTGCACACCCATCTGACACGCGTATTCCCACAGGTGTCAATATACGCCTCCTTAACAACTCATACCACACCTCTGTGCACACGCATCTGACACGCGTATTCCCACAGGTGTCAATATACGCCTCCTTAACAACTCATACCACACCTCTGTGCACACGCATCTGACACGCGTATTTCCACAGGTGTCAATATACGCCTCCTTAAAATGTTCCCAACCTGGGCCTCCACACTGGCCAGCTTTATTGTAGACATCGACGGCTTGTTCGCAGAGCTGCAGAAAAGCTTTGTGCTGAATCTCACGATACAGACAGAGGCGGAAGCCATTGGTACGTTGTTATACTGCACATGATGGATAAAAAATATCGTCCTTTCTTTCATGCATTCATAGTGAATACTTCCAGTAGTGATCCAATACATATTGACTGCCACTTGCATGCCTTGCGGCTGCCATGGTTCAAGAGCAGCGACGGTATGAGGAACATGTTATTTCACGTGTGGGTATGCATCATTCGTTCGTTAATATAAATAGCCGGGATTGCAATGGAGAGTATCCAATCTCATTAAAAATTGTGTACTATGCAGCGACAGTGGCCAAGGAGAAGCAAAAGTACGAAGAACAAGCAGAAATGGATAGAGTGAAGGCCGAGGCATTGGCTGCACAACGCGAGAGGAGGCGATCCAGTCAGGCGGCAATGCGATCACGTCCGGGCTCTAATGCCTCAGGTATGTATAACTATACAATTATATAGTTTTTATATATATTTATATTTAC